CATTTTAAAAGGCTCGGATGAGCCGTCGAGAGGGCACAACGCGTCATGAAGTAATGTAGAAAGGGCATCGGTCGACCTTCCGCGGTGTCCTTGCTGTCGTCCATACGTGACTTGCTCGCCTTCTTATGTACCTCAAAAGTATAAGCGCGAAATATCCGAGGAATTTGGCGAGTGTGCCCTTCTTTCTTGTCCTCCCTCTCGATCGAGCCGCGTTCCTCGCGACAGCGGCGACGCGTCGCCTCCGAGGGTTTTCGGGAAGAGGAGGAGGTAACGAGTGAGCGCTCGTCACTGTCCATCCGTGCAGACAGCGTGGAGCTTGTGTGTGTGTGTGTGTGTGTGGAGTCTTCGGGAAGGTGGAGGGAGGGCGCGCTGCCCCGAATGCACTGCCAAAGAGTGTGCGTCTAATGAGGCAATAAATAAGTCGAGGCCGCCCCTAACCGGCCTCTCCTCGCGACAACGTGTCCATCCTCGTCTCTTTTTCCTTCCTTTCTCCTTTATAATGCCCCCTCCTCCTCCTCTTTGCCTTTGCTTTCTCTCCTCCGATTCTGATTCCGAACGACCGCGAGAGGACAACGAGGTTGTTGCCGATTCTTCTTCCTCCTCGTCCTTTATCTCTCGCGCTCCGAAAACTACTCTGATTGACGCACGTCGCCTGTCCCGCGATGCACCACTAACTCCTCTCCAGAGCTATGGGTACGTGCATGGGAACTAACTCAAGTAGGTTAAGTGTCGAGATGTATTACATTGCACACGGCAGGGCAAATCCTTTTTTTTTCCATTTCCTTCAAGGGGCAGCCCGAATCGCTGGTCTAATGGCCACGCACATTACGCAAGCACGTTCGCGGAGGATCTATTAATAATGGGCTTCCTCTTGGGGCGCGCGATTAATATCCATTGCCGATTCTCGACTCCCGTACAGCCGTGGGCTCGGAAATTAAACGCGGTTAGGTGCGCGTGGCGTTTTATTTCATTTGCTCAAGCATATAGTGGATGAGACAAATTCGTCCTGCACTGGGGAAAGTTGCGTCACTCGGCTGAGTGCGCGTGCAGTGTGTTTGGGCTATTTTAATTTACATTTTTTTTTTCCAGCTCACATCTGCAATAAATTAATGTTTGAAATACTTAATAATACATTCGTAGTGGATTGATCAATTAGCCTCATTAAATACATTCACGATTAACTCCATTGTTTCAAATACTTTTATTAAGTAAAAAAACATTAAACAGTAAACATTCGCCATTTCATTCCGCATACATGTTCAGCCACCCGTTTTAGTGAGGTGTAAAAAACGGGCTGTTACTCTAGCGACTCTAAACAGGGGTTCAAGCCCCGAATTCTGTATCACAGAAATGTATTATTAATGGCTTTCGAGCTCTAACGTGAAACAATGAACAAACAAAGTAGTAATCAATTAACTATTGCCATAGTAACATATGGCGCTTTTTTTTTGGTAAAATGCAACAGCACTTTTTTTTTCTTCAAATAATAATTACACCAACTTTGCCCAAGCCTGTATTTGCGTTGCGCTTCCTCGCGCTTGACTAATTTTAGGAGTCCGGTATAGAGTAAGAGGTGCGAAACGATTGCCCTTTTTTTTTTGACCCCCTACTTCCTCGAGGGCCTAACTATATCCGCGTAGGGGCAACTCTGCGCTTCCGAGCGAAAGAGACGGAAGGAGTAGAAAGAGAGGCTCTAAATCGGGCGATATTTCATTGGAAAATTTAATTAATTCGTTTCGTATTATTTTGGCACTGGGCTAACTTTGGCCGGCGAGAACTAATTTTGCCGAGGATTATAATTAAGCGCACCTACATGCCTTAAAAGGGAGGCTGGCTCTCGAATTTATTTTCTCCAATTTGGAAGGGAAAAGAGCCCGAGGAGGCGGAAAAAAATACAACGGCTTGACACAATAATATCAGAACGATCGCGGGGGGAACGCGGTGCCGATTGAAAAAGTGCCCATCAGCCTTCAGACTTCAGAGACGCGTCAGACTCGACTTTCGAGGGAAGGTGCAGTCGCCCATACGTATGGAGTCCAGGGGAGAGAGAAGCTACAACGACGGAGGAAGAAAAAAAAAAAAAAAAAAAAAAAGGACGACCAAAAGCGCTGCCTCTTTTTTTTCAGGCTGGGCCATGCAAGCGTTGCCGCACTCAATACGTTCTCACGCAGCGCGAACGGTATTTGTGCGGTGATGGTACTTTTGCGCACTGTTGTTTTCGCGAGATTCCATCGCCTCCCTTGCCTCCTTCTTCTCCCTGTCATGCGTGGCGATCTCCTCGGGAATTCGTCGCCGTCCGTCTCCCTCATCGTGAGCTTTAGCTGCTTTTTCAGTCCTCTGCCGATTTCTGCGCGAAATCTCAGCTCGAATGACGATGTCACTCGTATTTTTATCGCTCCCCTTTTCTTTCCTTCTTCTGGCATGCACTTTTCTTCCCCTTCCTCCCCTCTTGCCCCGGCGATGCCGCATTGTCGAGCATCTCTGTCCACTAAAGTCAGCAAAGGGAACACTCGTCCGACTCTTATTTTATCATCTCGGCGGAGGAGAAGGCGAGCTCTCTAATTGCAAACTTCTGCTGCTGCTGCTGCTGAAAATGAACGACTGCCGCTATTAGCCGGACAGCTCGGACTGTGATTTCTTTTTTCTTCTTCTTTTTTTTTTTTTTCTTTATTTTTTTTTTCTTTTTTGAGCGAAAGTAAAATTCTCAGCGATTGTGGGAGCTGAGGGATAAAGGGCGGAAGTCGCGAACGTGACGTCAAGGCCGCGAGCGGAATCCTCGGACTCATTAAGAGTCGAGATCGAGATTCAGCATTAGCTATTATATATTATAGATGTATACAGCGAGGCCCAAAGTGATGACTGCCTCTCTTTTCGAATTTTTCCTGGCTCCGAGAGCGCTAATTATCGCCGTCACGTTAGTGCCTCGCTGATGCAGCGGCTATACAGCGGCGTTGTACCAGCCTCTCTCTCTTTGGCTGTCTCATTTATTCTCGTGGTAATTACAATGAAATAAGTACTTCACAGCGTTAATTGACCGGAATGCGGTCTCGACTTTTTTTTTTTTAAACCTTTTTCTACATGTTTTATTTTCTCTTTTAATTTTGACTCTAATTGATTGGCCCTCGTCTTATTGAGAGCAATACTAATTAATGTTATTATCTACGCCTCGGTCCAAAAAAAAAAAAAAAAAAAAAAAAATCGAAAACAATACATTTTTAGATACAACCAAACATCTGTGCTAATACTCCAAATGGTGGAAATCTTGTAAACAAGGTAGGAAACTGAATTGATGGCATCCAACTTTTCTACATAAAATTTGTAGACAAAATGTTAAAAACAAAAACTATAAATTAACTAAAAATACACTTTATGACAATGATTATTGAAAAAAGATTTGACAAGTAAAAAAAACTTTTTTACAAAACTACCAAATAACAGAACAAAGCAAGTCTTTTGTGTGGGTTTAAGTTAGCATAATTAAATAATACAAGTTTTTTGAGCCGTAGAGAGTTGAATTAAAAAAAGAAAGGCGATCGACGATATTAAAAATATTAAATGAAATAAACTAATTACAATTAATTGTCCATTTCACAGTAACTGCAATATTTGCGTGAGTATTGCTGTTTTAAAAATTCAGATTTTTCCGAATCTAAAAATAATAATCTCCGAAAAAAGCATGTACTTATACTATTTTTAGGCGAAAAATATCGATTTTTGAGTAAAGCCTTTGCTTCGTAGGCGCTTATAACAGACTAAATATGTACGTATGTAGAATTATTTCTAGAAAACATGTAGAATTATTTCTAGAAAACCGGTAAATGCCAAACATCAAATCTTTCCTCAAAAAATTTTTAAAAATGTTCTGATTTTAAAATACCCTCCGTTTTGCGGTATCTCTTTAAACATCGCTTCGTCAAAAATTTTTTCTTAAATACCGTCTTTTTTATGCGATATCTTAACTATTTAGAATGTAAAATTTTTTTTTTTTAGTAACTGATTCCGAATTATTGTCCGTTGCACAAAATGTTACATGAAAATTTTTTTATTTGTACTGACCAGTTTTGTAATTTTAGCACCCAAACAAAAAAACTTTTTACGTAATAGCTTGATAAATAATCGTTCTCTAGCTGTAAATTTTCAAGATGTTATCGTCGGACACAGTGTTTGATACGAATTTCACAGAGTTTTTGGAATACACTGACTCGGGTTCGGCAGTATTAAAAAGGCTGAAAAGACGTTTCGTAGTGCATAATTGTGTTATTAGACATGTGACCAAATATCGAGCCAAATATTAATTCAAACTTTGTTTGACTGTCACAATCGACTGTATGAATGATTTTGAATGAAAATTGTACAGTTGAAGCTACACTTTCTTGTGGCAATACGTTGATTGGTGGTATATTATGTGGTATCTTACAAGACGTAACGTTTTTGTCCGCCCGTTGACAATTACACTTTCCGCAATGGCCATGCTAAAAACATCCATCCACCGAACGCGTGCACGTGCAGTATATATAATATTATACACACTCGCCCATATAGGTGTATATATCATCACCCGTTGCGCGTTTATTCTTAATGCGAGCAAATAAATCAAGCAATTAAGTTAAGATGCGCAGTGGAGATTTCGGCGTCGTTGACATACTGCCAAGTGAGATATAAATTTGGAATCAAATCGGCCGACATAAATTGCGTGGAGGCGACAACGCGCCGCATCGGGCTCCAAGATCTCTCTCTCTCTCTCTCTCTTACTCCCGAGCCTAAGAGACACAACATTACGGCTCTGGGAGCCCCGCATATACTGCACGCAGGCAGTTAGGCACGAGCGAAACGCGCCTAATCTGTCTATTTTAATTGTGACGACGCCAGGGGGGTGTTGGTAAAAAAGTGTCCAGCTTAGCGCAACTGAATTCACCGGATGCGCGTAGTGTACACACAAGTAAGTCGTTGCTCAAAATAATCGACTACTTTAGTTCTGTTTGTTTTTGATTTTGTTGCAGGACCATTGGCAATCAGCTGGTGATGGACCCGATGCTCGTGTGCAAGAAGACGCGTCGGCTCAGGAGCAAACTGTCCGACATTTGCCGCAAGGAGCCCGCGCTTCTCAAACAGATCACGAAGGGCATGCAATTCGGAACGAGGGAGTGCCAGTTCCAGTTCCGGAACCGTAGGTGGAACTGCACGACTTTCAAGCGGTCGCTCAAGAAAATCATCCTGCGCGGTGAGCTACTTTTTTTTTTTTTTTTTTTTTTTTTTTTTTTTTTTTTTTTTTTTCTGGGGTGGGGGGTTCTTTGAGCAGCCATTTAGCAGGCACAAAGAGGATGTGATATTGTAGATACAATAACCTTACATGTATATACATACATGGATATATATATATATATACACGTACACATCGATGACAAAACCTTTTCTGAAAGGTATAAGCTGCAGGAGCGCACTTGGCGGCGAGAGAAACAGGAGACGCATTCAAAAGTCCTTAACTGCACAATATCTGATTTTTCGAGCTGACCAATGGGGCATGTATATATCGATATAGAGGGGCCCGCTCGTTTCAGCGAAAACCCGAGAATTCCCATGAACGGGACGTTGTTATACCTATACCTAAATGCATCACGTATACTGCTACTGCATGCTTGGACATCGACACTATGAATGGCGGAGGGGTCACTATAGGCGGGCGTCCTCTTACTTTGCTCTTTTTCTCTCTCTCTTTTTTTTTTTTTTTTTTGCTGGACTCCTGCCGCGGGCCTCTCTTTTTCTGTGTTACATTTTGGGTCTCCCTTTCACATAATAATGTGCACCCGAACCTATACATGTACATACATACGTGAGCCCACCGACAGGGGGACGCGTAGATTACAGGGCACGTCCGACATTAGACCAGACCGCGCGGGGGTTATTACTTACCACGCCGCTTCTGTGGACATGTATATATACGTACAATACGCCTCTGCTTTGGCCATACCATACACATACCCTGCAGTGCCCTGCATGGCTGATCGCTTCATTCAACTCTTGTTTGCTGTACTATAGTACTCTACTCTCGTTTGCTTGCGTGACCCTTTTGTAATTAGGTGCAGGCCACGTTTGTGAAAATGGACCATTCAGAGGGGTTTTTGATTAAGCCATGCTTGAGAAAAACTTTGACGAACGAGCTCGGGAGCATTTCAATGAACCTTTGCCTCAAAGTCCTGCCTGCTGTCGTTTCACTTTACTTCATATTACATGTATTCAGTCATACAAATGACAAATTTTGTCTGTCAAAATATGGTTCAGTTTATACATAGGTTTTGAAACCGCTTTATTTTAGATATGGTGTACAATATTTTGTCCGATACGTATGTGTGTGTGTAAAGATGAGGTACATCCTGATTAAGGCATTGGGATTAAAAAGAAACAATGAAGATGTGGTTAGTTATAATATACCTAATGAATGAAGGGGTTAACATCTTTTTTTTATTGACCGAGTAAATGTTTTTTTTTTTTTTTTTCAACTCGCCAAGAAAAAATCTCGAACCATTTGTTGCGTGTGGTATATCGTTGATAGTGCCGAGTACATAATATAAAACGAAAAAAAAAAAAAAAAAAAAAAACCACTCGTACTCTCTCGTGAATGAAAAAAAATGAAAGGATACAAGAGAGCCAAGGCGAATCGGAACGCGTATAGGTGCCCACGCACACAAAAACAGCCGATGGGTCGGCCGATCTTCGGGTCGGTAACCGCGCGCTTTCGGGTCTCTCTCATCGATCGGCCCCTTCTCCTCGTATAAAGCCTTATCTCGGCTGGATTAAGAGGTAGCGGGAATAAATTTTAATTTAGTCTTCGAAAATTCCCTCTCTCCCTCTGCCCCCGAGGCCTCTCTCTTTCTCCCTGCCTCTCCCTCCTCTTTCTCACAGAAGTCGGGGCTCACTTAAGCGGGCTGATCGACTGCGACAACTAAATCGAAGCCAGCGTGTAGGATGTCCAATAGCTCGTGTGTCAAGGGATGCTGCTGGGTGATTTCGAAAAAAAAACCAGACTTCAAAGTTGTGTATGTTACATACACCTCAAGAGCACACGTATCCACGCATATAACTGGCTGCTGGAGAGCATGCACAGAAAGAGAGAGATTATCAGAGATCCCTGGGCCTTTTGGTAGCCAGACAGATTGACACTGTCCTGTTGATATTAGCAGCAATATGTTCTCTTAATTGAAATCCCTCCCCGGGCGCTTTGCATGTGTACGTGCAGTTCGGCCCGAGACTAATTCGGAGCATCGGAGCAGGAGATGGAGGAAAGAACCCCGAGGAGCTTAGCCCCACCCATGTATGTACCTATCTGCTCGAGATCACAAGCCGATTGCCATCGATCTTCCAACGATACGGGGGTCCGCGCTGCAGTTCTTCCCTCGGCCTAGAGAGATCGATCGGCCCCTAGGGAGCAAATTGCAAACCTCCTCTCTGCGAAACGATCGGCTGGATTTATAATATATACATGCCGGTCTTCCCTTTTATACCTGCCCAATATCGACACACGTGTACAGTTTAGTTATACGGTGGTGCAGTACGCGCGCGTGTGTGTGTAACTTTCACCTGCTGTTTTCGAAAATAAGCGTAATGTGCCTATAGTTGACCAAGTTCGGAGAGCCGATGGAAAATATTCGACATTCCTGCTACGTGCCGCCGAGCCAAGGGACAAACAAACAAACAAACAAACAAACGGATGCAGAGCTGTGAGATTTTCAGCTTAGGCTGTCGATTCCGGCGCCGAGTAAGTATAATCGCACGGCAGCACCAAGTCACGGATATAATGGGAGCCGAGGCAGAAAGACACTGTAGAGAGATAATAATGACTAGCGCGTTGTGTGTACCTGGTATATATTATACGCATATATATATAGCTGTCAAAGGGCGAGAGAAAGAAAAGCGGGAGCAGAAAAAGAAACAAAGGGAGGGGCAGCGAAGAAGAAAAGAACGAACAATAGGCCAAGGAGGCGAAAAATAACGGGGCCGCAAAGAGAGAGAGAGCGTGGTATTATATACCATGTACCTACTTGTACGCGTACAGTAAAATATTAACGAGAGACGAGTATACGAGGACGCTATGGGAAGTGGCCCGTGTTCTTCTGGACAATGCAGTTTTGACACTTAACTTCTTCGCGTGCCGGACACGGCAGGGGCTCTACCTCTGTGCCCCTTGTGTGCGCGTGCAGGGCACGTCCGGCCCCAATCGCCAGATTAACGTCCGTATAGAGATCCTCTCCCCGTGCTTACACTCATTGTAAGGAAAGGAATGCGCCGCGCGCCGTGGGGCTACCAGACGATATTTTCACCTCTCCCGGCCCTATGCGCAGCCCAGAGCTCGTAATGAGCCAGATGATCTACTACTGCGACCGACCGGGCCCGGGAGCAGCACGAGCTTTTTCCTCGTGGCTTTGTTTGGCGTCAACGCGACTTAGCGGGTAACTTGGCTCTGCACCGTGTGTCCACATGGACCCCCGAAATGATCTTCAGCTGTGCGGTACATAATAGCGACGATAATAGAGAGCTGCAGTCCATATTCCGGGGATTTGCAGGATTTCTCTCCCTGCGAGGGAGCCGGTGCCGTCAGGGGAAGAATGCGGGAGCCTCTCCTTTATTCGTGATGGGCATACGTTGCGATTCGAGTACAGCAGGTATACGTATGTATAATACAGGAGCGCGCCCGTTGGAATTCATTGAGATCTAATGAGCTCACTTTGGGCCCCGCCGCCTCTTTGGGGCCTTTGTGTTGACCGAGATGACATGGAGATGAGTACTTTTTCTTCTTCTTCTTCTTCTTTGAGCGAATTTCATTTCTATTTGTTGTTTCCTCTACGGCGGGTGCAAAATTTTTTTTTCTTTTTTTTTGTCATCAACCGCGAACACGGTAACTTGGAGGTAATAACAGAGGGAGAAACAGTTCCACTAATCGGCGAGTAAAATATTTTTTTATCGCGTATGGTAACGAATAAGCCATAGAGCTATTCCGGAATATGATAATAAACGATGCGCTCATCGTCACGCACAGGTACATCTTAATATATGTATAATATGTAGGTATTGTATAGTGAACGGTATACGAAGGAAAGGATCGAGGACAATTTAACGAGCGCGTTGACAAGAGAAAAGAAGAAGAGAAGGAGGAGGAGAGCAAAATAATGTACACGTATGTAAATGGCTGCTAATGGGAAATGAAATAGGGAGTAGTCTGCCCGAATAATAATGATGATGAGAATAATAAAAAGTAGGAGTCAACAGGTACATAAATAACCGTGCGCGGGCGCGCCCGAGGGGAGTGTATGCGTGATGTGTGGCGGCAACGGCAGGAGCTTTAAAGTGAGGATCGATGACAGGAGGCATGAGATGTTAAGCGGCCGTTCCCGAGCCTGCATCGTCGCAGGTGACGATGGGGCCTCTCTCTTATTCTGTGCTCGCGCGCGCGCGCCACCGGAGCACCTCCGTGTCTCCCGTCGGGGGCCCGAGGACACCTCGCCGTGGGAAGTCCACCTTATGGGCCTTTCGGGGCCACCCGGTGACTTGTCGTCGTAGTCGTTTTTAGTATAGGAGGCCAGCAGAGTCGTACAAAATACTCGCACTTTCGGCTACCAGGCACATCTCGCTACGGTGGCCCTCCTGCGTTTTTTCGCTGTTTCTCTGAAATTTTCCTCCCACCCCCTCTACCTCGACCCCCGTCTTTCCCTGAACACTCGTACACGCCTTCCCATTTTCTGTCTTTCTTTCTTTTCTTTTCTTTTTTTTTTTCGTCCCTCGAGTTACGTGAATAGCTGCCAGTCGCTCCTGCCATTTTTCTCGCTGTTTCACCTGCGACGACTTTCGAGAAGTATCGCTTTTGAGATTATTATCTTGAACAATGGTTTCCCTACATTGTATAATAGGTACACCCATGTATATCAGCCAGCCTGACGCTTCATCGCTTTATTTGTCAATGCCCATGCGGATTTCATTGAATCGATCACTGATGCATCAAGGAGTACAAACAATAACTATTACATCCGGTGTTTTTTTTAATATTTTTGCTTTCACGAGTATATACAATATATATATATTTTACCACGTAGGAGGGCCTTCCAACGGGTTTTAAAAAGGCACGATTTTACGGGCACAGCGCGCCGTTTTTATCTCATCCGTTCTCCCGAAAGATGGAAAAATTCCTCCTCTTCCAGAAATCTCGGCCGCGCCATTATACCTATAGGTGTA